TGGTTCCACCGTGTGGCAATCTGTAATGCACACTTTCCAGACACGATGGCTCTCTTACATACATTTTCCTTCTCTGCCCGGACCTAAACTGTGTTGCCCGCTCTCCACTACTGAGGTCTGGGTGGAAGATGGTGGTCGGGTGGGGAAGAGAGCAGCGTGGAAGTCCGGCGACGCTATCTAACCTAATCACACTATCATCAAGTGTCAGTACTGCGCTGTAGCCAACCTGCTGTGCTCAGAAGCCAATAAAGAAATAACCAACCAATCAACCAACCGACCAACCAACCAAACAAACAAACAAACGTCAGGCGACGCCCACTGAGCGCGCATTGATGCGCGTCGCTGTCCATGGTGCTGAACACGTTTCTCTGATCAGCAGATCTTTATATGTTTATTCTGGTCTGTCCTGCATTTTAGTTGCAGTGTTGAAGTAGGACACTACAACGCTGGGAGAAGTAATTGCCTCCATTCAAGTCATAAATCCAGCACTCAGGACCATTTAGCATACAAATGCTAACTAAGTCTAATTAATTAAACTGGGTGTAATGATGCTCACAGGTCAGACTAAATGAAAGACTGTTGTCTTAAGAATCGTCTGAGATATATATAAGCAAAAGAAAATGAGCCACTGACTCACTGTTAGCCACATATAATAGATGAGGTTTCTAGCCTTTATGATATGGCTTTAGATAAGAAGATGAGGATGGGTCACCTATGAGGCATTTTGTAACACATGGTTAAACAGAACTCACCATGACACTAGGCTGCCATAGATATCCAGATGTCTGGGTATTTGCACGTAACTTGTTATTTCCACAGAGGAAATCAGTTTGTGTAGATTTTCAAGTCCAGTGGATTTTTGTCTCTTCTGCTTTGCTTGATTCTATCCATGAAATGCAATCATATATTTTTCTGTCAGCACTGAGAACCTACACTCCAGAGAAGGCAGTTTCAGACTGGAATAATGAGGAACAACAAAATGCTAAAACACGATGAGTGCCAGGCAGCTACCTTCATCGTATCCATATATTCTGCCACACACTCACTACGGCTGCAAGCCTTATTTGCAGAAAACACACCCAGTGCTACTGAACCTTGGCTTCCTTCTGAGTCAGACCTCTCATACATACATAACATGGCTGACAGGCAAAGTGTTCTCAAATGTAAAGGTTTCATGTTTTGGGGAAACAAAAACATTCCAGTCTTAATCAGGATGTTTCAAATTAAGAATATCATGTTCTGTTTTTTAAGTGGATACAGAGGTGCTCTCTGTGCATGTGGCTGCTGCCACCCAGCACAGGCATCAACAATATGATCCACCAAAGAGTCACACACAGGTTCAAAATGTCAGCATTTACAAACAAATTGTGGTCAAGTGTTGGCATTTGATATTCAAATACTGTTCATAATTATTGTGAGGCTGAGGAAAAGTTGGTCCTCTCCAACTTGACTTTGCATGCTGATGGAAAGCCGTAGAATCATAAAGGAAAACTCTTCCCCTTCATGCTCTGTACTAATCCCTCCCCACCAAATAACCCTCTCATCACACTGGAGCAGGGTAATTACCTGTGAAAACTCTACAGTGACATTTACTCTGATGACATCTTGCTTATATACAGTCCTAATTGGGTTGAATTAAGACACTTGGGCTCTATAGTGAATATCGCCCCCATTTAGTCATCGCAGTGGGACTGGGCAGTTGGTATTTTAGTTGGATTTCTAGGTCAACTTGGAGGCTGCACCCTGGGTAGATGCTTGGGAAGATGAATTACAGATGGGGTCAGAAGATTATCACAAAATGTTATATGTAAATCAGAGAAAAGGTACAACAAAGGTGCAGAGAATGCTAATGTAATTTGCTGTGGACTGTTATTTTTATATTAACTCTGTGTTGTGTTCGATGTTCCCTGAAGAGTTGCACTATCTTATCTCTTAACTCCAGTCTGAGATGGATAAATTACTACAATTAGCATAATTTTTAAGTGAAGGGGGTTTGTTCCCCTCCAGTGCTGCATGTCCACGTGCCCGTTGTCAGTCCTTTCCAATAGACTCGGCTCATTCTTCTGCCTCCATGTGTACACACGTCCTATCTGCATCAACCTATTTGCTAGAGTTAACAGTTAAGCAGTAATGAAATAAATTAACACACCAACTGCTCTTCAGTCAGTTGTGTCAATACAGTGCATTATGTTTCTGTATTTGTTAGCTGTTTATTGTGATCATGTCATCATCGATCAGTGGTGGACCCACTAACCCACTTAGTGACACTGCCGCCCCTACAACCACACTGCTACAGTAGCATGACTGGAATATTTTTTCTGCAGGGGACATCGCAAGTTATCCCACTGCTCCAAACTTTGGCTTGTCTCAGAAATTTGTTCTCTCAAAACAGGAGGCAAGGTCTTTTGGTCTTTTTGTACCTTTTATTTGACTTGAACACTAATATAAACAAAGCTGTAGCCCATCATATATTATTAACTGTTGATAGCTGCACATGTGCATGTGACTATACTCCTATATTTTTGTACTTCTTCCTCAACTGCTACGGTTTCACTATCAGGCCTGGAATCATACATTTGATTTGTTTATTGTGCCAGTGCAGAAAGATTACGAAGGCCTTGGTGCTTTGTTTGTGTCGAACGTATGCTCCCACATAGGGTGTTCAACTCAAGGTAAAGGTGTCACCAGGTGTAGCTGCCTTGCATTTAAATCACCCAAAAGTAGAGTATATACATTAGATGTTTGTCTGTAAATGGTCCAGCCACTGCCATGTTGTCAGAGACATGAATCATGGTGACGTCTCACAGTCAAGGTGAGGAAATGGATGGAGAACAAAACAAGTACTGGACGGTACATCAGGGGGTTTACTGCTGTGTCAAAGAGTCTGCTACAGTGGGTACACACATGTTTTTGTTACACAATAATTTTCTCCAGTGTGACAGTTTGTGAACCTCCATCACATTGCCATTTTGCTCTACCTCTCCTGTAGCCTCCTCCTTTAGTACTGCTGCTTTCCTCTAACACTGACCTTGGAGAGTGGCCACTGCTGCTCTGCAACTTAATATAACTGAGGCTTTAAGGAAAGTCCAAATGAGGGGAAATCCTATGGATCATATATTGTAGATTTACTTCCCACAGCTCCAATACACAGGTCTGCAACAGCTCTAGTTTATTTGAACATGTGTCACTTGAGCCCTGTGCCTTATATGCTGGACACATCCTGTCAGGACATAATTCATCTGAGGGCAGTATATCTTAGATGATGGATCCAGAGGAAAAACTGTTAAAGAATATATTTTGAGAGGTAATTCATGATGCAGCTCATCATCTTGTGACAGATGTCACATCAAGGACATGTCCCTGGACATCCGTCTCCAACTTAAAACACTCAGCTGCTGTAAAATAGGCATTGGATCCTACTATATATTTGAGGGAGTTGTTGAACACAAGGTAGGTTAGATAATTGACTGTGGAAGGTTATTATTGACCTTGGAAACAGTAGTTTGACAAAAACTACCTACTAAGGAAGACTGTCATGCATTTGAAAGCATCACAAAATGGTAGTTTTAAAGAATTTTTAAATCACATATAATCTGATATTGATAATTTTGCATTTGTCTTAGAACATAGAAGCAATGCATGCACACAAGTAGAGGGTGAAATAAAACGTATTTGTGCTGAGTCCAGCAATACTGTTTACAGTAGATAAACAGACTAGATTTTCAAAAGGATTGTTCAACATTTTGTTGTGTATATTGTCTTAAGAATTTAATAAGTGACCAGCTCTATTAAATGAAAGAGAGGTAAGTGCGCTAAGTCAAAGTACAAGTTGGAAGCTGTGGTGGTGACGCCGAAGTCATGGGACTGTGGTGTAGTTTATATACAGCCTACAATAGCTTTTTTACTTCTGGTGATTGTATTTGGGCCTCGAA